GTTTTTTTAAGAGGAGATAGGTAATTATACTTGCAATTTTTGCTTATGATTCCTAGCTGAAAGAGGAGCAGCCCTTCATGGAGAGAGATGAAAGACACTAGGAGTATTTTTCTTGCATTCCACTGTAAGCAGAATAGCAAAGTACATACCTGAGAAGCTTCCAAACACAACACCCATCTATTTACATATTTGATTTCAGTGGTGATACATGATAACCCAGGATTTCATTCAAAGGATCCTGACGGGGATTTGAAAGGAGTTCTTCTTCCCTGAATGTTCACAGAATAACTGCTGAAAGCTGAAGGACCTTTTGTTGGCAGACTAAAGTCGCAGAGAACAGGAGGCAGAGAAGCTGGAGACTGTTTTCTTGTGCTGAAAATCCTTTCTGTGCTTACAAGTGTCGGGGTGAATTCCTGGCCCTTCTGAAAGTGATGGGAATGTTTTGTCAGTGACTTCACTCGTATTTGGGAGAGGCTTTGGTAATGGTATAATTTGTTCTAATGCTTGTCAAAGGATGCAGCAGCTTCCCTGTTAGCTTGTCATGCAACTTCCCAGCAGAAGAGGATCTGTCAGCTCCTCTTGGAAATGCATAGACACAGGCTTCCTACAATGGCATTTGACCCGGGAGCGAGGGATGCACTGAAGATGTTTTCTTTCTTGCTATTAAGGCTGTAGTGTTGCATAAGCAGCAGTGAGATTATAGGTGGGTTATGTTTGAGAGAGCAGGCTGTTGTTCTCTTTCTTTACCCCCTATGTTTAAACCTGACACAAGATTAACATTTCTTTGTTGAGAAACAAAGATAGCAGTATGGGTTGTGTTTACATTCCCACTTGGCTCCTTTGCATGATGGGTGATGTGTAAATAGGACATCGAGGAGAGGAGAGTTGAGGTCAGGTCTTTCAGACTTTCTAAAATGTTAAAAGATTTGTGTGCGCTTAAAGATGTTCCAGAATGGAAAATTCGGCATTTGCTGCTCTCCAGAATACTCCCGAGTAATTAGGTTACCCCAGTTAAGTATTGCTCAACAGCTCAAAACATAGACCTGAAAATAGCTCTCATGTGATACATCAGTGGTGTTCGTGTTACCCAACCTCTGCATTTCAGCATGGATGAGAGAAAACAAGCCAATGGCCTGGAAAGCTTTAAAGGCAAGCAGAGAGGAGGGTCTGGTGAGTTCATGTGAGGGAATTTTTCTTCTAGAGATGTATACTGAAGCAATACTAAAGGCAGGGGCAGAAAGTGTCCACTGAGCACCATGTGCCTGAGAGGGACTCAGAGGTGTTGCCATGCAAGGTGCTAATTTATCCCAGTTTCCAGCTACTCCAGCTTTTGCAAATAGCTCTTCTTGCTGGGGGAGAAAGCTGGGACGTGGGGCTGTGCTACATGTGCTGCTTTGTTGTGAGGGGGCCATCCCCTGTGAGGGACCCCACTCTCCTTGTTAAGAACTGGTAGTATTTGGCAGTGGTTACACCAAGTCTGCCTGGCGTGGAGTTTTGGGTTTGTTTTCCTGAAAGGGACAGGACAGAGGTTTCAGTGATTTCAGCTGGTTTTTGATCCTGCTCCAGCTTCAGGGGTTTGGATCCAGCCAGTTGATTCTAGGTTCAGTACTCGGTGTAACTCTTCTGTAAGTTAATACTCGGTTTTGTTTTATAGCAGAAGTGGTCTTCTGGACAATCCTTGCTTTTCTTGTTGCAGAAGAAAAGTACGATTTCTTAGAAGAATTCAGTCTTACTCAACAGAAAGCATTCTCAAGACCGAGTTTGTAAGGGACCAGGATTGTGGCTTGTAATTGCCTCATGACTGCCCCATGGCTGTAAAGTAGTAATAACACAAGTTTTCACAGTCTCTGTGCTGGTTTATCTTAGCATACACTTGAGGGTGTAAACCCATGCATGCAGTGTGTAATCCATAGCTTCAGGGGTTTTTCTGTATGTTCCACAGGTTTTTCTGTTTTGTTCAAGTCAGCCTGCATAGGCAGCTGATTTCCACCAAAATAAATTGTGTAGCTTGTTTGGAAGGACTTCTATTAAGTACTTCTGAACTATCTTCTTTGCAAATGAGCAATGATGGGGGACAGGGAAGGTGTAGAGGGAACCTTAGACTAACATGGCAATAAACCACGGGACTTACAGCCTCCCCTTGAAGAGGGTTATTCCATGAGCATTGTGTTTTGATCACACTCACTGGTTAGTTCTTGCTGCCTCTGCTCTCACAGCGCATCACTTTTGTGGGGTATTTGTTCTTTAGTGGCCCAGTCCAGGAAAACACAGGAACTGATACCCAGCACAGACCCAGTTGACCAGTACTCTATGGACCAGTTAGGTGAAGGCTGGAGAGGCGGAGAGAATTCGGATTGTTCAGCCTGGAGAAAACTCTGGGGAGACCTTATTGCATCTTTTCAGTACTCAAAAGAGGCCTACAAGATGGGGAGAGACTTCTTAGCAGGGCCTGTTGTAATAAGACAAAGGGTGATGGTTTTAAACTAAGAAGAGGGAAGATTCAGGCTGGATGTGAGGACAAAATTCTTTACAATGGTAAGAGATGGTAAAATACTGGAACAGGCTGCCCGGGGGGTGTTAGACATATATGGCTACACTCCAGCTCACACAGACAGTTTTTGCTTTGTGTTTTTGGGCAAGGTGAACTAAGGAGAAGAAAAGATTCAAAGTGAAGGATAGGCCCTTGGAAAATCAGTCTGGAACCATTCAGTTGGAAGCTTCATTCTAGGGACATTTGGAAAAATGAAAAAGAAAAAAGGCATTAACAAAGAAAGCCTCAAAATACTGGGTGCTAAACACTTGGAATCCAGTTTTGTCTTTAAAGCCTGTCTTAAAGGAGAAAAGAGGTTAATCTGTTTCTGCTTGCTGCACGTGAGCATTCGTAACATGGTCTGGCAAGGGAAGTTGGGTCTTTCTGTGGGAGCCTGTGCCCATGTTATCTCTCTATCCCCTCGCAGCAGCAGTGTGTGAGGCAGTGATGCCTCTGTCGTTCCCAGGACAATGATGCTGTGAACTTTGAAGTTTTTGGTCATCTTCACATGAAGATACTCCTGCAGTTTTTCTCTTTGGTATTAAATTTTAATTTCCTTTGCCTTTTGGGTGATGGAATAGTTGCGAACCTTTGTCAAGAAGGGTTCATTCTGGGGAATCCATCATAGCCCCCATAAGACTTTTCGGCTGTTGATATTGCACCTTATAGGATGTGAACAAACATATATGGCACCCATAGGAGAGGGAGGAGAGAAAAAGCCATAGCTGATTGTTCAAAATACTTTGTCTTCCTTCTTTCTAGCTAATGTGGGCAGTAAGGATTTTTTGAGGCCAAAGAGTGTTTCAGACTGAGCTTACAAAGACTTAACCTGTTTTCTACCAAGAATCCTATGCAGCAGCTTTGCTGTGGCAGCACCAATGATACGAGTTTCATTCCACTGCTTGTTTTCATGAGAACTTAGCCCAGACTTCAGTTTAACTCTGTGATTCTCCAGTGAATCCCAGTCTCGGTGTCCTTACTGTGCCGGTTGCCTTTTGACCCAATGACAACTGCAGAATGTTTTTCACCATTACAGAAAGAAACGAAGAGTACAAAAGAAAATAGTGTAATAGTGTCAAAGTCCATCAAACTCCATAGCAACAGGAGTATCTTGAAGGAATGATTTGGCTAACTGGCAACCAGACTGCCATAACACTGTGCTGCTGAGGTCATAGCTTTGGCTAGTCACCTTTTGATTCAGGCTTGGTGGAGCAATGAGGAAGTAGCAGCAGAACCAGAAGGGCCTTGTCAGATTTTTAAGTAAGAAACACATAATATAGTAGAAATACCTTCAGAAAATGCCATCTTTGCCTCACTGTACCTATCTCTTCAGCCTGGAGGACATCCTGGGCTTTTTGTTTACTTTTCATATGTTGTCATAGAGCTTCGTGTGTTTTAAAAGAGCAATAACAAGTGG